ATAAGTGAATTGCACGGGTTTATGTCAGGTAGGACCTGACAGAGCAAAGGTTTAGAAGCCCTGAGCAGTTTTTCCTTGGCCAGACAGTGTTGCTTTCTTCCCTGTCCTCAGCCCATTCCAAGTCTTTCCCTGCCCCAGGAGTGGGGGATGGTGTCAGAGGACCTGCTAAGGATCAGCACCCCTTCTGGGGTATCCCTCAGAAATACCAACGCTCACGGCAACCCACGTGAGCCAGGGAACCCTTCAGCTGCTGCTGCCCGTGAGCAAGTCTGTCCATAGCTTCTCCACAAGCACCTTCATTTATCACGTGGCATTTCATCACCTGATAGTATTTGCGGAGTAATTCTGCTAAGGAAGCCTGGGCATGCAGCTTGATTGCTGGCACGTAGTTCTACATGCTAATGCTGTAAACGTGAGCTGTCTTGTGTGGATGCCAAGCGCTGGGCCGTGCTCATGGAGGAGCCTAATGGTTTTCAAAGAGGTCACTTAGGATCACAAATTCTAAGTGTGTTCTCTGAACATTATCCAGTGTTCACTGAAATCTCACAGCTTCTTCAGAGTGTTTGGCACGGAACTGCTGGTTTTGGATTAGTATCCTGGAATTCAATGGGCAGAAATGCCGAAAGCAAACATTCCTGGGAAAAAGAACTGTCACGTCTAACAGAGGCCGGCTCTAAATGCTTCTCTTTCTCCAGGTGTCTGCACGGTAAGTGCGTGGTGGCCAATGTTGCTTACACCTGCAAGTGCGTGGAGGGCTACACAGGCATGTACTGTGACAAGAAGAACAATTCCTCAAATCCCTGCAGGATTTTGAAATGCAACCACGGGCAGTGTAAGATTTCCGAGCATGGGGAACCCTACTGCGAGTGCGATCCTAACTACAGCGGAGAGCTCTGTGACAGAGGTACGCTCGGCTGCAGGGCCCGGGCTGCTGCTCTGCTGCCTTTCTGCTTTACACCTTTCCTTTATCTCTCTTCCGTGTGACTCGTGTTTGCGGCGTAAATGGCAAATAGTAGAAGATAAAGCTAAGTCAGCTTCTGCAAAGCAGTGCAGGGAGGAGAAAAGAACCACACAACAGCTAGCTAGCTACTATCCAAACATGGAAAGGGGGGCGTCTGTAGCAGAGGGTGTTATTCTCAGTCCCCTGAATCCTCCAGGCTTGCTGCTCCCAGGATTCCGCTGGGATGTTTAAAGAAGAGGTTGTTGCAGGGTTTAGCCTCAGCGAACAGTGATCAGTTCATTGCAGTGCTGGGGAAGGAGGTCTTACCCTGCTTACCGAGGGCTTGGGTAGATGTCACGAGTAGGAACTGGAAGGCAGGAGGTACTGCTCATCTGGAGCGGCGCTGAAGAGTTTCGGCTCGCTCCCGCTGATGCTGCTCTGTGGGTTTGCCAGGGAATCCCACAGGTCATGCTAGACTTCCCTGCCAGGGCTGGGCCCCAGCTCTTCTGTCCTGACCTGAAAAGACTCCCCGGAAACTCAGTGAGTTCTATCTTCATCCCTTCTGCCTCTTTTTTTGTTCCTGTACAGAAGAAAGGAGCTGGCTCCTATGATTTTTATTTAGGTTGTGCCTTTCCTGTGAGCGAACCACAGGCTTTCCAAATTATACACATACATAGCCTCACCACAGTGCATCTGGCTGCTGCCAAGCGACTGCAGAACAGCACAGGCATGTTCAGGTATCCCAGAGTGCTCGTCTCATGCAGAGCAGCCTGGCCTTTGATCCCAAGAAGCAGACATAGTAAAACGAACTCATATTTTGCAGGAGTCAACGCTCCGCCTTCATTAAAGCGCTTCCAGAACTGCTGATCAAAGGCAGCAGGCCTGCTTGGTCCGTGCCTCGTGCCGGATATCACACGCTTGCGTAGCGCGAGCTCTGTGCTGATGGCAGGTACAAAGCAGTAAGGTGAAGGTGCTGCTCATGCCATCTGTCTGCCTTGAATGCCATTACACGTGCAGGGCTGTCTGCTGCTGTTTGGGGAATGTCTGGCAAAACGCTTACCACTTTGGGGATTTTTCTCCTTTACATCTCTGTTGTTTTTCCAGAGAATCTCTGCCAAGGAGAGATAATTCGAGAAGTAGTCCGTAAGCAGCAGGGCTACACGTCGTGTGCCACGGCCTCCAAAGTACCCCGCCTGGAATGCCGTGGCAGCTGCGGCAATGGGCAGTGCTGCATTCCTCTCCGGAGCAAAAAGAGGAAATATTTCTTCCAGTGCGTGGATGGCTCCACCTTCACGGAAGAACTGGAGAGACACGTGGAATGCGGCTGCTCAAAATGCTTGTAAGCCATTCTCCAGTCTCTTGCCACTTTAATCGACTCAGAAGCGCTATCAAAATGGGACCTATTTACTTTCAGAGTGAAGAAGAAGAAAAGAAATATTAAGTATATTGTAAAATAAACAAAAAATAGAACTTATTTTTATTATGGAAAGTGACTATTTTCATCTTTTATTATATAAAATATGGCACCTCTTTGGGTATATGTATCATATAGTGAGTTATTTTTACCATGAACCTTTTTTAACAGTTGTAAGAAAAAAAAATCAAAAGTTAAAAGTTAAAAAAAAAAAAAGAATTATAAAGAAAACATAGCCTAACAGGAGAAATGCAGGGTGACCGTGCGTATGCACGATGAACAACTGGAAAGGTGTTCCAAGGACCTGCCACAGAACTGCTACCGGCTGAAGAGATCTCCGAGGCTCTGGGTGGGCCCCCTAAGAGAGCGGATCCCCGTGACTGCCGCCTGTCTCACCTGCCCAGGCACCCTGAGAAAGCCCCCCCTCAGTCCCTTGCTCTCCCTAACAGCGCCAACGCTGGTTTCTTCCTGTACAGTGGCTCTGCTTGCTGTCCTTGAGCTGGCTCCCTGCAGCACGTAGGCACTGCTGCAGCTCGCAGCTAACGACAATATTTGACTATCGTAATACTATAACACATTTTTTGCCGTGTATGTTGTATTTATCTGTGTTCACGTTATATTCTTCAGCAACTGTATCTATAGAGCACAGGCAGCTTTATCCAAAAGAAGGGGACGAGGGGAAAGGAAGTGGGGAAATATATGTTGCTTTGGGAAATTTGGGGGCAAAATGTGAGATAAGTGCTAAGTAATGCCTAATAAATGACATAGTACTTTTGTGTAAACTCCTCAGCTATGTTATTTCCCAAGTTTGTGCCTTCTTGCTCCTAGCCTTGAGCCCTTTTTTGTATAGGAAATATGAGGAATGCACTGCTGCATAGTTCATCACGCCTTGACACTTTAACTTGCAAAGGTTGTAAAGAGCATGAAAACACTGCAGGGGCCAGAATGTACCTGCAGCGCGATGGCTCCTCTTCCCGCTGTCCCTGGAACCACGGGCATGAGCTGGGCTGTCGCTGCCTGTTCGTCCACACTCCGGTGCAGAGCAGCTGGCTACTTTTCCACAGCTTTTTGAACGAGCAGAAGTTGCACTATACCTGCGTGAAGGTACCCGGCCAACGTTTGTCCGCTCAGCAGCAGTCTCCTCTCCGCAGGAGGGGAGACATCACAGCTCCGTCCCGTCCTGGTCTCGTGGACGGTGCAGATGGACCAAGTCAGCCAAAGCTTCTCCATCTGCGCTACTTAGATCCTGCACTTGTGTCTCCGGAAGGACTCCCGTTAACGCTAGCTGCGTTCAGGGCACATCTGAATAGGAAATGGAAACCGACGCAGGGATAAATTCTCACTGTGAGCATGAGGCAAAAACTGACTCTGGGGCTGAGTTTGATTTTTGAGGGGTTTTGGCAGGGCTACCTTTCAGGGTCAGTAAGTAGGTGCAAAGAGTACCATGAGCACCTTGGTGTTTCCCTTACTGTAACTTTCCAACATGCCCATCAACAACTGTTCCATTAGCAGTGTAATTTCTTTCTTTCATTCCCTACTATAGCAAGTACTATGGTCTTTTCTTCAATTTCTCTGAGAGAGATAAAGAGGATTCCTAGCAGCCGTCAGCTCCATTTGGGAACGCTCACTGGTGTCACCAAAAAGATTTCACATCAGGGACTTCAGCAAACAAGGAGTAGGAAAGTTGAATCGAGGAAACGGGGCTTTTGTTTGGCTGGGGCTTCGGGAAGATGCACAGAATGCAACCCTGCCATGACGAGTGTAACCACTTATTTCCCATTAAAGTGACCATCTCGCTGTCACGCAACCAGAAAGCTCTAACACGCTTAGCGTTCTGCTACGTCATCCTCTCCTGAACTGCAGCACGTCATGCATGTGTTACTACCAGAGCAACCCGAGCAGAAGGGACATCACCATATAGCAGACACCTCACCAAACAAATACCGGTACGTGGAGGCTGCAATCAGCAAAACATAAACCAGTCACTAGTTCTTGTGCCAAACTCAGACTGAAACAGCACCGCTGAAGAGCCAGGGAAAAGCTAACCCTGGTTGCAAGTCCTATGGGCTGCTTTTTGATTTGACTGTAACATCAGAAGCTCGTAGCAGCTGGAGTTTGTGGTGTACAACAAAAATCACCCAAACCCACAACCTACAGGTTTTAAAAATTCATGCAAGTAACTGCAGACACTTGTGCAAGTATCTGCCTGGCACACCACTGCCATATGTTTCCTTCCTGCTTAAAACACTTTGATTTCTGAAGAAGCCGCTGCTATGGTGCCAGGCAGAAGAAATCCAGACTGAGTAGTGGCTCACAAGCCCTCCGCGTGCTCTACTGCACGATTCGTAGCCCCTGAACTGCCAAGGCCTGCAGAAACGGCCCCTCTTGAGCATCACCCAACACTCTGTTCGCTTTGTCCCTTGAGCAGCAGTGCATACACGAAAGAAGGTGACACTCACTCGTGGCCTTGCACCTGCGGGAGGGTGCTTTACGAGGGATGGCCTTGACTGGCAAGGCAAAAGCCATCAACATCTTGTTAACACACCACTCTGGGGTTTATTTAAGCAAAACCTTGCAGCAACAACTCAGCAAGGCTGGCCTGTTCCTGGCCCTTTTCTGTCATGGCACTTCAGTGTTCAGCGTTGGGATAAAGAACTAAGAGTACCTATTTTGTAACCAAATGATGCAGTTTTTGTATGCTTTTAGGCAGCACTTGCTATTGGATAGTGATGCTTTATGTCAATGATTCTCTGACTTGCTATAGAATTACTTTATGTTAAGAAGAAAATAAAAAGCGTTCAGATGTGCCAAAAATGTGAGGTGAACTGAAGTGTAATTAGCTCTGAAAGTTCCTCTGTAACCTGCCTCATGTTACAATAGATTGCAAGAACTGCGGGTACAATGCAGTAGGTTTTACCTCTATATAAAGTTTTAATATAAAGAGAAGAAAGATGCTTACCCTTAAAAAATGGCAATGCAGACTGGTGTGAACTGGTGTATTTTATTAATAGATTCTCATTGTGATGTAAGTTTAAATAAATTGTTGGGTTATGGAAGATTGTAACACACCTTGTGTTGTGATGCAGATTATTCCTACGTGTATTTGAGGTGTCGGGTCTGACCTTTGAGAGTACACAAGGTAGCTCACAGAAAATGATGGAGGAGCTACACAGGCTCTTCTTGGACAAATTTAGACAGAGAATGGCTGTAGTTAAACAGAGTGCGAACGGTGCTTGTGCATTTTATGGCATCACAACCTAATGCCCATGGCAGGGTGGTTGGAACTGGATGATCCTTAAGGTCCCTTCCAATCCAAACCATTCTGTGATCTCTAATCTTGTAGGAGCTTTACACACCCAGATGAATTAATCCACATAGTTTTGGAGCCTGGGCATTTTCTTCAATTAAATACCTTATTTGCCGCTTTTTTTTTTTTCCCCCCGCTGTTTGAGAAAGACCAGCAGCAAAAATATACTTATTAACTAACGATGGAATAAATGAATAAACATGGAGAATTGGGGTCAGAGGAGGTCTGACTGAGGAAATGGAAGCCACACAGCCAACAGTGGATGACAGGGATCTCATTATATCCTGGCACAGGTATATTCCAAATTTGCTGCCACACCTCTATCACTGATTATTATTAGTGACCCAGACATAACAGACCTCTTCTGTTGAATAGAATAGAATTCCCACCTACTCCTCATTCTTCCCTCACCCATACCCCTGTATAACACTCACATATTGCTAATTGTGCTCCAAATGGTGGCCCTTAGAGTTGCCTTTGCTATTCTGTGCTAAACTGTTGACAGCAGTCAGCCAATAAAAACACTCAACCTTAATGAGCATCATTAAGCCTGAACTATGAAGGTTAATTATATAATTGTAGCAGATGGTAGCATTTTCACCTAAAGCAAACCCAGCTGAGCCCACTAAAAAAGCTGGTGGGAACTGCTCAAAAATTTCTAGGTACTGGCTGAAGTAACTGATTTGAACGAGTTGTTGGTATTGCTCGTGTCTTTGGTTCCATGGTGAGCACTCAAGCAATTGCAGCCCGAGGATAAAATGCTCCCGTTTGTGCTTCTGTTTGCAGTGCTTTAGGTAATGTGTTTTAGCCATTGGTCTGAGGTAAACAATGCCGAGAAACTGTCTATCCCAGGTTCCTTTTTCCTTTTTTTTTTTTTTTTCTAGTGGGCAGGGAATTGTTCAATGATGTTGCTATTTGCAGGGTGTTTAGCTGTGGGGTTTGAGTTGTTCTCTGTGCGTCCTGTCGCTTCTGGTCTCTGTGACCTCTTTTATGCATTCCCTCCCAATGCCAACTTCAGTCTACACAAGACAGCCTCCCAGTTCACCGGGCTAGACAGCCAGCATTGGCTTAGTCTGGCAAAGCCCAAGGTGCTCTTAGCTAATCCCTCCGGTTTAAGGCTCAGCAAGATGTCAGACTGCATCACTGGGTGGCACGTCCAGTATCATTCTGTGTGTGAGCTGAGCCGGAATGTTTTCCAGCATGTGCCCTAGAGCTTTTGAGGACAGCGGAGGTGAACCTCAAATGAGGCGCCCCCCAACCTGCCTTGGTGCCCTACCGCTGACGCAGGAGGAGAGCCCGGA